GCAGTGAATAGACACGCTGCTAATAGCAGCGGAGGCTGATGGGACAGTACTTTCAGACCTGCACCATCATCTGGCTCACATGTGTCTGACAGAACACTCAGCTCCTCTCTTTGATCAGTCCAGCTGTGCACCTTTTGTATTTTTACACTTCAACTCAGTTTCATAGGCATCACTGAGGCGTGTACTGATCTCATAATGCTTCCAAAACACATGTGACCTCCAGCTCAATGCTGAGGCCCTCTGTGTCCTGTCAAAACGAGGACTGTGCTGCTATTCTGCTAAACCTGCTGGTTTTACTCTGCAGATTTATTTCTCTGGAACAATTTTTTGCAGTAAAAGATGACATATTTATTGGATTATTATTTGCTGATGTAAAGTTTCAAACTGGTTTGAAGGTGTTTGTTCTAAAAATGTTGTAAACTGTTCAAAACCTTCATGGTTGACTTCAGGAATCCTTGTTTTTAGACGATTCAACTAATCTGTGTTTCCATGTTAATTGAGTAAATTAAACGTATTCTGTTTAACTAAAGCAGATCTTTGTTGTCCAATTTGTATCAAAATCTGGTCTTTTCTTAGACGTGGAATAAATATGTGTTCGTACAAAAATGTCTAATGGTTGTTGGTTTGTCTGTCACTGATCAGAGAGCAAACAGATGGTGCAGAGTGGTGCTCACTGCGTCTCCCTTCTTCACTGTAAGCAGCGTCAGCTCTCAGAACAACCTCACAGTCTCGCTCAGATTCTCTACCTGCAATCTGCACACACACGTCTTAGAAAACTTTGAGGTTACATAGATCCCCGACCCACAAACCTAACCATCACCAGCAGGTCTACTTTAATAGTTGGTCTGTCGTAGAATCTGTTTTGAAGTCAAATAAAGGGCAGGAGAACAAAACACTTAATTTACATTGAATTTTAAAAAACAACATATCAACTTGTTCATGCTCATTTAAGCTCAGTTTTTACGCCTACCACTTACTGAGTGGAATATGTGGAACTGAGAGGAAGTAGAGGTAAAACATGATTGCCAACACTCGTTACATCCACTTTTAGTACAGCGGAAGCAGCAAATGCTTCCACTGTGCTTTGGATGATATTGATAGTGATGATCCACAAAAAACAGAGCATGGATGACTGCACGTCATACCATCAATGATATCAGTCAGTTTTAAAAAGTTTGGAAGTTCCCACACTGTAAAAACTTACAAGAAGACTTTTTTTTGAACATCTGCCTTGTCAGCATGAATGTATGGCACTTTGCCCAAGTGCTTTTTACCCCATTCACTGAGAGGAAACATCGGGTAGTTTACTTTATTCTTTCAACTCTGTCTCCCTGTTACAGCTGCAGTCAATGCTTTTCAGATTATTTGGGGTTAAAAAAAATGCATGAAATGATCCTCCATAAACATGCACACATGTAAACAAGCCCAAGTCTCCCTGGAGAAGTTCTGAGTGTCAGACTTTAAACTCAGTGAGGAACAGAGCTGCAGCCTACCTAACCGATGAACTCGTTTAGCTCATTAAGCTTTTAGCACAGAACTCCCCACCCATTACAGTCCAGATGCTCCCCTCTCTTTCACACCAAAACAACACAATGAAGAAACGATGTGTGCGTGTGTGTGTGTGTGTGTGTGTGTTTGCAAATTGTAAATGTGGGAGCAGCAGAAGGAGAGGGCAGGAAAGCACAAAAGTGTGTACTATCTGTTCATTATGGTGCCAACTGTTGCAACAAAGACTCCCGCTGGAAGAGCAGAGTCAGAAGGCTGTTAGTTCAGTTTAGAGCTGCGGTGCTGGAACAGACTCACTTGACCCACTTTAATGTCATTGGATATGTCGTGTTTACAGCTCTACAGCAGCGGTGTTGAGAAGGAAGACCAGATCGTTGACATTTCTTTTGAGGGAGCCTTTTCACCTCCCTTATCTAAGAAAGTGGAAATGGAAATGCAGCGTAGTTAAAACGCTGCAACGGACAGATGGAGTTTATTGTGTGTTCTGCTCTTATAAATGTCTACCAGGCACACAATCCTTCTTAATCTTTGTGCCCATCTCGTGTCCATCTGTGAGCAGCAATGCTCAAAGGACACAGACTGTATATAAAAGATGGACATCACCACCTGAAACTTTGTTCTGTGCATTAAGTCCCTTCCATTGGTGGACGACCTCTCTCTCCTTTTTTGGTTACTAAACTTCAAAGAGAGGAAGTCTCGGAGCCATAACCACAGACTGTATATAAAAGATGGACAGTCACAGCGCCACTCTGGTTACTGCAAAGCCTCATTTTGGAAGTTTTGATCTGAGCATTCTACACTGACACCTCAGCTCTTTGAAACCAGTTGCCCTTAAAGCAAAACCTGATTTAATGGCCTTCTTAACACTAATGATCATAATTTATGAATCGAAATTCTTTGTTCAATAATAGAGAACGCTAAAGTCATCAGAAAAGCGTTACCAAAGATCAAGTAAGATGAAAGGTTGTTTTTTCCCCATAGATTTTCTCTTTGAAGCCACAAGATTTACCCCCTGCTGGCCATCAGAAACAATTCAGGTTTAAGGATCGTTGTCAGACCCTGAAAACTATGTCTGTCTTTCATGTGCAGTAATTGGATTTTTATGCAAATCCCTCCTTAGAGTGACCTGTTGTGACCCTACCACAGAGAAAACAATTTTCCATGTTTTTCTGTTTAAACCAGATGCTGTCAGATTACATTAATACTGTTAATGAAATCTGTTTTTCTATAATGCTATAAGTACTAGAGCTTCAGTTCACTCTGGCTCTTGTGTTGAAGTTGCTAGTAGAGACAAACCAAAATATGTGTATTTGTTTAATTCAGAAAACCTATGTAAATATGGATTACAAAAAGTTTCTTTCTTCCACGAGAGGCTATTAATATGAGGTAGACTGGGATCGTTTGGATTTTAGAACAGAAGCGTGCATAGGACAGGAGGTGAGTGTTCTTAGAAGACCTCTCCGCTGACCAAAAGGGGTTTGGACAAAGCTGCGTGAAGCCTGTAACTCTCAGAGCTTTAAAAAGATTTGGGACAGACTGAACCATATTGAACACCGTAGCGGCATCGCTGTGTGTATGCCTCTCCACTGGGAGTATTAGTCAAAGACAAAAACAACACTCCAGGTGCCTTCCAGCTGCTGCTGAAGGGAAGAAAGAGAGCAGACAGCAAAGAAGCGCAGCTGCAGAAATTAAAGAAGACAGAAAAAAGAAAGAAGTCTCCAACAAATCGCCATGTTTGTTAAAATCTCATTTATTCATCACTGATATACAAAAACAATGTTTCTTTTTTTTTCGGTGCGAAAAATAGCTCTGGATTTTGTTCAGCTCGGTCTGGTTTGGCCCTCGGGGGTTTGCCGTAGTGGAGGCCTCCAGTATTTACAGTCCCTTAGGAGTGGATAAAAGATTACCCTCATCAGCTGATGGGGGATTGGGGTCTTATCAAAGCCTCTCAGACTGAAGGAGAGGACAGAGGGGCTTATAATAAAACTTTCCCCAGAGCCTGTTTTATCAGGGAAAATCTGGGGTAGGCGCTTGTATGTCAGTGGCAGCTAATGTTTAAGGCAAAGGTTTCCCAAAAACCAAATAAGGTGTCAAACCCATTTTCCTTTTAAGACCTAAAGGTGTGAACAGTTACTTTAATATTTCAACACAGATTCTAGTGAGCTTTCATGGCAGCTTCTGGGAAACCTTTGCTTTAAACCATTATTTGTTCTCCAAAGCAAAAAGTCCATTATTCTCATGCCTAATGTTACAGCAGTCACCTTTAACCAGGCATCAACATCCACAGGTCACTGGTGAATCATGTAGGGTTAGGTTAACATCCACCTCTTTTAAAGTTTATTGCCTGTTTGAAACACCCAAATGCAAACGTTTTTTTTTTTTTAAAAAACACTGCAGTGGCAATTCCTCAATGCCTCATTTGAATTAGAACTTTTTAACTTTTACTTTTTTTTTAGCATGTGGCTAAACGAAACCCAAACATAGATAAGTCCCCGGTGACTCAGTGCATGTTAAAAAGTTAACCGCTCCACAGTGGCATCATGGTACATGAACATGGAAGATTCTGGATTTTTGTGTCGGTTTCAGGATTGTTACAACCCCCCTAATTCCATCGTCGCTTCATCACACAGTAGCTCCCGTGCGAGAGTAGCTTACATGTTTTTACACTTTTCAGGTTTCTTTACAAAAATAAGGTTATACCGCATTCACGCCATTGATTCAAACTGGGTTACAAAGTGAGATGAACCACTGTTATTGCACAAATTGATTAACCACAAATAGATCAACCATAAAAAAACAAAAAACAAAACACAAAATGAGGAGGGGAGAATAAAGAAAAGTACTACTTGTACTCTGATTAGCACTGGCTAATAAATATGCATGTAGCTGGGCCTGGGTCCGCCTGCTAGCAAAATGAGATGAAACGCAGTGAAAATGTCGGCAGAGACGAGGAAGACTGCGGCAGGAGCTGGAATAATGAAAATCGATGAAAAGCACAAACAAATGAAAAGAACCAAATCAGTGGATGTCGGTCACTTGTCCCCCCCACCCGGGTGAGCTGTAATGGGGGTGGTGGGGCAGGTTCCATGGAGATAAGTGCACTCACCCACCCACTCTGAAACCTCACCCACCCCACTCCCATACTGTATTTGTGTGTTTGTTTGTGTGTACAGAGCAGGTTCTCTGGTTGTGTACACGCACACACACACACACCCCGAGTGTCGATTGCTTATTCCCACTGTTAAAGAAGAGGAGGCACTTGTGAAATGAACATGTCAACAGTGGACCGCATGCTGGTCGCTTCCACATTAACGTCTCATGGCTTCGTGATTACATTTCTTCCATTTTTCCCACCATCGGGAGTCCCCCAGTTAGTGTTATTTGCATTTTACAAAAAAAGGACAAAAAAGTCTATAATAATACAAATATATCCAACATCACGTTAAAATTTGCATTCGAAAAAAGGAAAAAAACAAAAAGAAACTTTAACTTTAAAAATCAACATAATGCGACAAATATAAAACAAGCCCCAAATTTCCTTCCAACAAGTCATGACTGGTTAAGACATTCAATAATGATTTTATATTACAGGAATGAAATTAAATATATTAATCTTTAAGTAGAAATGTGCTAACCCAAAAATCCCCCCCATCCCGGGTTAAAATCAGGGGCTGAATAAAGCTCGCTGGATGAGTGGAAGATGCCATCGAAGAGAACAAAAATCACAGGCACATGATGGCAAACCTCATTCACTCCATCCATATTCATTCCTGTCAAGCTTTTGACTTTTTTGGGGTTTTTTTGGTACGTTATGTTCATAGAAAACTCCCCCCCCCACATGCATTCTCTCTCATGCAAAGGCATGCTGCTATGTCACTGTGTGCGTTTTCAATTCATGGGGGGGTTGGGTGCAGCAAGACAAGACACCACCCGATAAAACTAAAATCCATGCAACACATCGCACACAGAAGTGAACTTGGAGGGATATGTGTGTGTCTGTGTGTGAGTTTAAGGCATTCAGGGCTAATTCTGCAGGAAGTAGTGTCAGTCAAAAAAAAAAGAAAGATGGGTTTGTCAGTAGTCAAAAATAAGTAACAAATATAGGGAAAAGATGGTTAGACGCTAGGCAAACCAGATCAGTGTTTTACTGTTGATGAGCAGCCGAGCCTGGAGCATTATGGCAGACATGAATGATTAAACTCAAAGTACTTTATCGTTATCTGTCAAGACAGAAAACTAAAACCCCGCTGCAGTTAAAACATTGACGCGTCAGGTTTCTGGTTTAACACGAGGTGTGATCAAACTAACTCGTTTTAAAGTTCGGCAGGTCTCAAGTCAATGAACCGTCTTCTTGGGCATGGTAATCTATATGAACTGAAAACGGTCCAGTGGTGCCCGAGAAGATAACCTTGAAGTTGAGATCAGCCAAATTTGAATCAGGTAAGCTTTCTCATTCAACTTTCTCCAGTGGTGATGAAGTTGGTGATGGGACTGGTAAATTAACTGGAATGAATGATTAAACTAAATCTGTGAATGCTCTCTGCTGGTCACTTATAGATTTTCTTTAATGCTTTCTAATAAATAATGTTACTACTAATGTTTGTCATGGTTCCCACATGCCCGCACGTCATCATTGGGCACTCTTGCACTGTGCGCCTCACCCTGTGAACCACCCCGCCGTTTATCTGTTGGGGTTATGTCTCTGATACAAACTTACATGGCACTCAAAGGCAGATTGATGAGAGAGCACAGAGCAGCTGGTTAGGTAATGACGGCTTCATTCTTTCAGCCATCCATTTGCTCCATGCTCTTCCTCCCTCCCTCACTTGCTTCCTGCCCTCTCCATCCGCCCCAACCCTCTCTAGAACGCTTATTAAAAGCTATATTTAGATAAGCAGAAAACCTTGACTCACCGAGTGCATCGCCGTAAAAATGTTGGTGTGTGTTTCTATGTGCGTGTGAAGGATGCGGCTACAGCATGAAAGGAGGTTATGAAAAGGGCTACAGGTCCCTCAGTCGCTGCCAACAGGCAAGTCTGCTTGCATAGGCTCTGCTCTCAACCTGACCATTAAGACTCGAAGTGAAGAGGTAAAGAGGGGCAATGGAAATAAGAAAACACAGAAAAGCTAAGGCATCTCTCCCCTTATGAGTCCACTACTGGACAAACTGCAGTGTAATTTATAAAGAAATGGCAAATTCCAGTCAAACCCAGACCACCTGATCAGTCAGATAAATGAGGAAAACAAAGTCTAACATGTGTTCTTGAGACGTAATAATTAAAAAGAAAAATCCTGTAGGATATAGTCGTTTTGCTACCTCCCTCTTCATGCGCACACCCATTGTCTCATTTCACTCACACACGCTTTCAAAAGACACATGCACACATTACAGTAGTCTTCCTTGTCACCACTGCTGAATTTCTCTACTTTAAGTGGAAGACTCATTCAAAGGATTACATCTGCAGGTTGAAACTTTGATCCCAAATCAAAAGACACACAAGCTAAACAAAGTCTGCTAAAAAAAGAGAGAGAGAGAGAAAAAAGAAAGAATCCCTTTTCATTTTAACCCAGTCTCAGTAACCCTAATCCACACTGGCTCTGCTGTGGGTTCCCAAGGGTAAATGGAGAGCAGGGCACAGGTTTTGTTCCACTCCTCTGGTGGAGTGTCTCTCTGGGTCAGTGCAAGGCTCCTGGAGAAAGCACTGGGTGGTCCGGGAAGAACGGAAGTTAGCGGAGAAGGAGGGAGAGGAGCAGATGAGGCGAGAGATGAAGAGGAAGCTGGCCTGTTGATCCTGAGCCCTGAGGATTTTTGCATGTTTGTAGCTTTGCGTGATTAAAGACCTCAATGCTTCATCTTCCTCCTCCTCCTCTTCTTCCTCATCACCTTTTCCCTTACTGGGACTTCTCTTCGGACTCGGAGGGGGTGCTTTCGCGTGGCAGCGACATGCTCTTGTGGCGGTCCCACAGCTTGTGGAGCTCGGTGGTTTCGTTCTCGCTGCTGCTTGTGCCGCTGTCCCGGAAACTGGCCAGAGGGGGGCGCACCTTCACACCTTTCACAGTCACTGAGCCCTCAATTGCTTTACGGAGCTGGTTGAAGAAAGATAAGGTAGTTAGAATGGAAGCAGGAAGTGTGTGTGACCAGAACTTCACAGCACAATTTAAGGCTCCCAGTTTCAACAATCTGGACAGCACTACTATACTCAATGCAAAACCAATTTTATTATTTTATTTATCACCAGGTCATCACTATAGTCCTGTAAGGAGACTTTAGTATATCATAAAGTAAAGATCCTTAAACATTAGAGAGCCATACCAAAAGTGGCAACAGTGGGGAGAAAGAAACCTCTGGCAGCTGGGTTGAGGGAAAATCAATTTTCAAAAAACAAAAACAAAAAAAAAAGGGAATGTCCAACTCAGTAGTACACAAACAATTTCTAAATTGTAACAGTAAGAAATATGTCATTGCAAAAGAAGCGTGCAGAATTTTATAATTGTAGCATTAAGGAATTTTATCATACATCCAAATTGATACACCATCACCCTCATTACAAGAACTTTATATAATGTGTTGCTTTCTACTGTACCAGTACAGTAATACACTGAAAAACACACTTTTTAATAATAATTTTATATCAATATATTTTAACTTTTCTATGCTAATTAAACATCCTCAATAAAAGCAAAATATATAACTTGGGTTTAAATTCTCTCTTTTTAAAAACAAAAAACAAAACATGATTTGGAAACCTTTAAAATCCTTTAAAAAATATATATCAATTTGTTTTAGGGATTACTTTGTGGGAGAATAGTGTACATTAAAGATACACTCTTTGGGTTTGGTGTTTGATGCGCACCAGATAAGAGGTTGCAACGCGCGTTTGCGTCCATATAAAATACACTGTTTTTGTCTGCTAGAGTGGGATTTTAACGGCATATTCTGCACCACATCTCTGTGTGTTCATCATTTGTTTGAAGCCAGCTCACCTCCTGCAACCACTTTTCCGAGAATACGCGCTTCTTTTGCAGTTTGGACGCCTTCTGACATTTCTTTGGAGGTGGAGGAAAACCAAAGTAATTGCTTAAAGGAGCTTCTTCAACATCTTTAAGAGTTCTAAACAAATGTCTGTCCTCCTCCAGAAAATCTTATGTACGCAAACGCGCGTTAAAACTATTTTTATTTTGACAGTGAATGCGCACCTGTGAATGTGCACCCCTGATTATAATGCTTGCCGCACACACAGCAGTAATTGACAAAACTGCTTCTGCAGTCACAAATCTTCAGGAAAACATTGTATTACATAAAACCAATGATTGTCAGAGACTATTTTAGGTATTACCTGAGAGGTCTTTATCTGGTCAAACAAAATGGCACTAACAAAAGGTTGGATAAGGCAGCGAGACAGATAAATATGAAGGCATGCCGGCTCGGACGTCGCCCGGATCAACAAGGTCCGCGTGTGAGGGTCCAGGTGTTGCGGAACCAGGGCACCCTGACGAGAAGTGGGCTACTGGAACAAGAAGGCATCGGTGGGCAAGAGATGAAAACAGGGGGTTGTTGGAATGCTACTACGCAAGTAACCCCGGCGGAAGGGGCTACATGAATAGGATGAGGGACCTATGGATTCTTCGATACCCAACATCCACAATGACGGCGAAACAACTAGATGGCCGTAGTGATCGATGTAGCGGTTCCGAATGACAGCAACATCAGGAAGAAGGAACACGAGAAGCTCGAGAAATACCAAGGGCTCAGAGAAGAGCTCTAGAAGATGTGGAGGGTGAAGGTGACAGTGGTACCAGTGGTAATCGGAGCACTAGGTGCGGTGACTCCCAAACTAGGCGAGATCTCTGTCCAGAAGAGCGCAGTCCTAGGAACAGCTAAATTACTGCGCAGCACCCTCAAGCTCCCAGGCCTCTGGTAGAGGACCTGAGCTTGAAGGACTGACCGCCCACAGGGGCAAGTGGGGAATTTCTTTTTTTTTTATTGAAAGTGACAGAATTTTACATTTATACAATAGACAGATATTTTGCACATATTAATTTAATTGAAAACATACATTACAATATCCTTTTAAATTTATTTATATGCTAAAGTTTTGAGCTTGTGTATCTGAAGTTCATAAAAATTCTAAATCCTGCTCTATGCTTCACACTGTACAGAATAACTCTGATTAAACTCAACTAGTAGCTAAAATCAGTAGTAGGTTTAAAAAAAAAAAAACAGGTTTCCTGTTATATAGGAATCATAGTGTTTAACATCCTCTATTATTTATTATTGGTGTTATTAACAAAATTATGGATGTATGGATGCTTATAAATCTTTATGCTAACTACTTTGACTTGCTTTCTTGCTAACTAACATTTTCTCTGTCTTAATGGAAATGCACAAGATGAACTGTTTTGGTCCAGAGAGTAAAAGTGTACACTGAAATGTACTGAAAAAAGAAAACATTAACATGTTTTTTTAAAAATAATCTGATCGTATTGGGTTCATATTTCAATCTGCAGGTGTGTGAAAGTTTGTTATGGTTCTCTATTGAATCTCTCTGCTGTGTATTATTACATTTTCTGTTTGGCCAGACCAAGTTTGTCATTTGGCTTATAGCGGGAAAGATTTGGGTGCTACAGGTCACGTGGCAGCATTGAAAACAGGGCTGGGTATCGTCACTGATTTCTATAATCGATTCGATCCACGATTTGATTCAATTCGATTTGAATCTGGGAAATTTTTGCCTCAGACAGTCAGAAATATTATAATTCAGATCAGTACATTTACATATTTTTGTATCTATAAAAAGGAAGCTGACACTCACAAGACTTTATCAAAGGTGTGAGCATCATAGCAGATGCCTTTGTGTCAAAGTAGCTGAAGATAAAACACAGAAAAACATGAAGGTGATTCTCCTGGCCTTGGATTTTATAAAAATATTCTGCAGTAGATCAAAAACGAAAGAAAACCATTAATCAACTTATGAACATTACTTCTGAAGTTACAGCGGTTTTATTAGAGACACAGCTAAGCGTTTTGCATTTTGTATAATTTTAAAAACTTTAAATTTGTTCAGAAGCCTATTGAATGGCAGAAATTAGGTTTTCTTTTCGGAAGTAAGTAAAAGGAAAACAAACGTTGGCCGATAGCGCTGTAAACAACGGTAGACTTGTGCGTAACAAGCAAACGAATAATGCAGAACACAGATTTTTAGACGGGAAACTGTTCTTGAAGTACACAGAGAGAGAGAGAGAGAGAGAGAGCTGTGCATGAAGTGTGATTTTTATCGTGGTGGAAGCAAAACAGCAAAAGTAAGAGGGAGTCCATGACGATGTTTATGTGAAGCGTAGTTTGGATCTTCTTTTGCTGCTGGTTTGGTCAATATTGTTTGGAGAGAGATAAAACTAACAGCTTTAGAATCAGC